GGTAATGAAGAGGAATCGGAAGAAGAAGATTATGAATAAGAAAACTTGGAGGGAACGAAACGGAACAGGAAAATGGGAAATTAGATAATCCGATCGAGAGACCGAGAGACCGATTTTGCCATTGGTCCATATTTTTTAGACAAAGATAATAAAACAAAACGGGCTAAGCATATTGCTCCTAAGAACTTCAAAACTCTAATGAAAATATTTTTCTGCAGCTTTCGGGTTACCAGGAAACCTATATTTAAGATATCTGGAACAATCTATTTGATACTGATATGTTGCAAATATGTTTTAGTGGACCCAATACAAAAACAAAAGAAAAAAAAGCAGAAGTTCAGTCAGGTGTAAGAAAAGCAAATCAATTTATTGCAATAGACTTGTGGAAAACGGACGGCACTGGTATAGAGGTTTTCCGACTGATAATAAACAGTACAGGATTTAGAAATTTACTAAGATACATGCGAACTGATTTGCTCTATCTGATGCGAAGTTATTTTATACCAGTAACATGGAGGTATACGTTAGTAAAGCCAAGGGGATGGTCTATACCACCTAGACACTAGTATCAAGGCAGAAACGGAACGGGCACCAACAATTGGTACACTAGTCTTAATCTTGGTAAATACTTGAAGGAAAATGGTTTAACTATATTGGAAACAATAAAATTAAATAGATGAGAAATTCCTTCATATTTCTCTAACAATAAAGGACGACTTTTTGGCTCTAGTACATTTGGGTTTAGTTTAAGAGAAACACAAGTGTCATATAAAAAAAAACAAAAACGTTCTATTATATTCCACTATGTACCATGGGACGACGCTGACCTTGCAACTGGAGTACCGAAAATAATATAAGCATATAACAGCACAAAAAGGATTATAGTAGAAGACGGCATATGGTTGATTTGTACAGCCTTTTAAATTTTCTTCTTTTAGGATGCTTGTCCGTTCCGAACGTTGGCGATCATTCTGGCTATGATGACTTTACTGGTTGTTATACTGAATAGCTGTGTTGAGGTCTTTCTATAGCATGCTCTCAAGTTATCAAGCCAATAAAAAAGTGTGGAGAAAAAAAAACTGACGAAAAAAAAAGAAGATAGAAGTGATCACAAAAAATATATTTATCAAAGATTTAGAAAAGAAACTGAATTGTTAATCGATATGCCAAAAACCAATTTCGGGAACACTAATGACGGCAGTACTAGCCGAAGATTTTTTGAAAATCCTAAACTAGCTGCCGATATAACAAAAGTTAATTTTAAATTGATATCTAGGATGAAGATTATATTGGAACCAATTTCAAGCTGTCATAAAATTGACGTCCAACAATTTGATGATTATTCTAAAGCAACAGCGAAACTGTATGTCAATCTGTATGGATGGCACCCTATGACATCGACCATGCATAAAATATTAATTCACGGAAAATATTGAAATAATCGAAAATGCCTTATTACTAGACTTCGGCAAATATGCAAATAAAAATGTAGAAAATATGCGCATAAATATGCACGTGTTTACCCGAAAATATGCAAATATTTTACAAAATATGCATACAAATAAATAAAAAAATCGTAAAATAGTAACAATTTTATTTAAAAAAAAAAGTGTACATAACTAAATATTTCCTACTATTCATTAAGATTTACATTTATTTTAAGTAACTACATCATTTTTAAGTATGGATAAACTTATTTAGAATTATGGTAACAATAAATGATCAAGTGGTGTTCAAAATTTTCTAACAAAAACTTGTGGCTTCTGTCTGAGTACATATATTTATATATGGAAAAACTTCGTTCAACATCAACTGATGCAACGGGAGCATTTTTCAAACTAACCAAAACATTTGGTTCTAAATTAATTGTTTCCGAAATATTTCCAGCTAGAACACTGACTACTTCAGAAAGAATATGGTAACCTTTATTTTTTTCCATAGTAGCTTCAAATTTTTTTAAAATATCTTTTCCAATATTACCTCTAACGTTCCGACAACATGACGCAAATTCTTTTATTAATGCTGTACTTTCGAACAATGACAGTTTTGGTGATTCTAACTGAGTAATTGTTTTTTAAACAAAACTAAAATTTGATTTTATAAATGAAAGTTCTTGTTGAAGCAAGTTACTCTGAAAAGTTTGTTTAGAATCCAAAAGAGATTGGGAACTTTCATCTGTTAACGTATCAATTATGTGCTTTAATATAACAAAATGATCTGCATAAAAATTAGCTGCTTCTAACCATGTTCCCCATCGCGTTAAAATAGGTTGTGGTGGAAGAGCAATGTTAGGTAGCATTTCTTTATAAAGTTGAATTCTTATAGGAGATTTAAGAAATACTTTTTTGACACTGGATATCATGGTATTTACAAGAGGAAACTTTTTTCGTATTTCCTCTGCAACTCTGTTTAATCCATGCGCTACACAAGTAACATGTATTAAATCTGGGAAAAATATTTTTAAATTTTGTCCTGCTTTCACCATATAAGGAGTAGCATCCGATAAAATAAGCAGTAATTTATTAGAAGGAATAGTTGTCGGAAGAAAAAAAGTTGCTAATGTTTCTTGTATAAAACGCGAAATTGTTGAAGTATTTGTTTTCTCAAGTTGCTGGCATGAAATAAGATGAGATTTTGGTAAGGTATCTTCTTTAAGAACACCAATCAATAAATGAGCAATATACTTTCCTGAGGAATCAGTGGTTTCGTCTACAGATATGTAAAAATAATTATCTGCAATTTCTTCCCTAATATTAATTAACACCGACGAGTATAGCCCGTTCATATTATTTCTTCTTAGAGACCGATCACTTGGAACATTAAGTTTGCAATATTTTTTTAGAAACGAACTAAAATTTACATTTGCTAATTTTGAAAGCGGTATGTTTGCAGACACTAATGCGCGACACAAGTCTTCATTAAAAGTTTCTTGCTCATCTAATTTTTTTGAAGTAGATTGGAAACATTTAGCCATTGAAGTTTGATGTTTTCCTCCTATTTTTCCTTTTTTTGCAATGTGTGAAGCAGTTCTCACATGTTGGTCTATCTGAAATTTCTTCTCACATGCTATCTATAAATAAAAATAAAAACCTTTATTTTAACCCAACCTTTAAAATATAAAAATATACAAGGTGTTTTTGGTTAATCAAATAACTGGTTTGGAAAAAAAAACACTCGCTAAGTGTTTTAAATGCAGTATTAATCCACAAATTAGTTTTTGTTACTAACCATTAGTACATCATATAACTTATTTTAAAATTCAACAAAAGTTTTTTTTTTTGTTAATTCAATTACAATAAAAATAATTGTGTTTAGAATAGCTGACTTCATAAAAAAAAGTAAAGGTGAAAAATTTTTCTAAATACACACCATTGTATTGTACCATGGACAATTTTTTCTCATTAAAGGAAGCTATTTTTTATTTAAAAACAACCTACGAGTACTAAATTTCAAGTAAATACGTTTATTGGTTTTAAAGTTATTGTTGTTGTTAACTAAAAGAATTTAATTTTTTTTAATTTTAACACCCTGTATCTCGAAAAGTAAATAAGTTTGACCCCTCATTAACTATATCGTTTTGTTCAATTTTTCGAGAAGTATCTACAGTCAAACGTTATAAGTGTCATTTGGAAACACCCTGTATGTATGAAATATTAGATATTTAATAGAAAATATTAGATACTTACAATTTTGCCACAGACTGAACAGTAGATTTTTCCCATATCCATAGACAGCTCTTTATAAGGTTTAATCCAAGTTGAAGCATTGGTTGTTTTTGCATTATAAAATCACAATCTTCCTTTTTGTTACGCACAACGAGTGTTTACGCTTTGAATATCAAAACAAAATGATTTACAAATCTGAGCATCAAATTAGAAATGTTTAGGTACCTAATTCAATAAACTGGGAGATTTTGGAAAATCCCTAAATTAGGAACAAAACTATTAGCCGTTTACCTGCTGTTAAGATACAATAAATTGTAGATAGATTTGGGGATTAGATCATAAATGCAAATGAGCGAACCCTTAGCGATTATCCAATAACCGAATGCCTCAGTGACCGAGACTTTCTAAGAATGTTGAGGGCTACTTAAATTGATCTTCTTTGAAATTGTAAATATTTTGTACCTGTAGAGATTACGTACTTAGATCATTTTTTGATTAAAATGACTAGAAAATTTTATACAAGAATTGAAATAAATTGGTATGTTTAAAAATTTTCAAATACAGTATAAAAATCTGAAATTTTATGCACTTTATGCAAACTTTTATACAAATATGCCAAAATATGAAATATTTGCATAAAATATGCACAATATGCAAAAAATGCAATATGCATATTTGCCGAAGTCTACTTATTACCCATAGCACAGCTGTCGGAAGAGGCAGTAGAAGCTAAGAATAAGCATTTTCGATTATACCGCGAGAACTATGCAAGAAAGTTCTCGAGGGATAAAGGCAACCTAGATATATTCAACAGATTTCTTCTAACTTCTGACCCACTATTAAGCATTTTAATCAGCAAAAAACGTGTACAGAAAGGGTCAAACCAGGGTCATTTTGCCCTGAAAAATTTCAAATACTTTTACCAGATGACCCGAATACTGAGTCCAATATGTCAGACACTGACATATCGGACTCTGATTTTTTGCTCATTTTAAAATTTGATTTTAATTTTTTCTTTGAATATTTGAATTTGAATAGAACTATGCTGTAAAATAATTTTGTGTAAATAATTAAATCAACATATGTGCTGCGTTTTCTAAAAGATTAAATAATAATCATCTTTATTGATTCTTATTAGAAAACAAAAAATAGAAGTATATTTTCAAATAAGATGAAATAAAATATGCACCTCGAATAATTTTTTTACCAAACATGCTTCACTGTAAAAAATTCTTTACTCCAACTTTTTTTAAATACCCGCATATTTTTTCATATAACCATGTAGCAGTACCCTCTCCAAAACCGCAGCGAATATGCCAACAATCGGATACTTACCAGATGTGATTCCCTTGTGGTGAACGTGACAGGGTCGTGAGTTTCTCCAGCGGGGCATTTGTAGTCCAGTCTACCTACTACTTGTATGAGATGGCTGCCCGACCTGCCCAATTCAAGAAGGTTTAACCTCAATGTGTCGGCCACGAACTCCACCTGCAAATGATAAGAGGAAATACGTGTTAGTATCCGCTTCGATTGGTTTTTGATTTAAACTTTCTGGAAGGAAACAATAGAATATTACGAGTAGAACTAATAATAGTGATAAGACAAATGGAAATTTATTTTTGCTGGATTATATTTTATAATAAATGGGTGGACATTTTTCACATTTGGTCCCGGTGGAGACAGCTTCAAACTAGTTGTCAATTATATTTCACAGAACGATATATTGCGTTGACAGTGTTGCCATGTATTTATTATGTGTATGTTATATATGTACTTCTAATACAAAGAGAGAAAGCTTTTGAATTTGAAAAGTAAGTTTTAATTATATTATTTAATGAAGTTTGCAATTTTATAATTTATATAAAACAAAAATGAATTAGTATTTGTTTGGCTTGTTAAAACGCCGAATATCAAATTCCGAAAACTTTTTATCGAATTCTCTTTTTATTTCTGTAAGAACTTTTGCAAACCTCCTGACATTGACCATGGTTTCTACTTGAATTATTTCGAAACACACAGAAAAATCTGTGAGGTCATTTATTTTCATGCAGTTCTCGAAAAGCTTAAGTTTTTTTTGCAAAATGTCTCAATTTGGCTAACCAACTGTGATACTGTCTTATTCTTTCCCTGAGTTCTAGGTTTACTGTATTTAAGTAAAAGGTAATGTCTGTTAAAAATGCCAATTTATGAAGAAATGCTTTGTTCTTAAGCTTTGTTAAAATTCATCCGTGTTAATAACAATTTCCGTTTTAAAAAACAGTAAGATCTCTTTTCTGAAACAAAAAAAAAATCTAAGGCATTTACCTGCACTCAATCAGCGTATCTCTGAATGTAGGCGGACGTCCTTACATTTATTATTTAATTCCTCCAAGATGGAGGTAAATTTTCAGTGTCGCTAAGCTCTGTTTCCTCCTCTAAGCTGTTTACTATTTGCACTACAGTTTTCATAGTATCGTTAATTTTAATTATCTGTGCACAGAGAGACTCTTTAAAAACTGCTTTAAAACTATTTACTTTTTCTTTTATTGGTAATTCTAAACTATTCTTTTTTATATATCTTATTGCTTTTGATTGCATATGTTTTATTTGTAATGTAAATTTTAACACTACCAAAAGTAATCTTTTATTATGTCAAACTCCTTTAAGGCTATCTTCACCAGGACCAAATGTGAAAAATGTCCTAAATGGGTATACAAAAAAAGAAAAAATGATAAAAATAATTTCTTATTATACAACTAAACTTAATAGTCTAGCTTATTGTACGTTACTGAAATTTAACTTATCATTAGTTAAACCGGAATTAAGCCACAATTAAAGAATAAAGTAAATTTATTGACGTTTCAATTTCCACTTAGAAGTGTTTCGAACTCCACTCCCTACTTTCAGAAACCAACAGAATAATGAAACTAGCTTGGACATCTTTTGGTAGAAATGCAGTTATATTTAAATCGAAAATGCTAATCCACCTGAAGGAAAAAAGCATTCGATCAGTGTATACTACCAATCATGACATAGGGCTGTGAAATTTGGACACTAAAGAAAGAGATAATATCGAAACTCAAATTCGCTTAAAGTTCAATGGAGCGATACATGCTAGGTAAAACAAAGAGAGATCGAAAAAGAATAGAATAGATCAGACAGAAAACCAAGGTTATTGATGTAATCCAGATAATTAAATCTTTAAAATGACAGTGGGTGGGACATTTAGCGAAAACAGGTGGTCCACTAGAATTACACTGTGGTATCCAAGAGGCGTCAAGAGACCAAGAAGATGTCCAAATTTATGATGGGACTATGACATAAGAAATAACAAAAACGATAAAAATTCGGAAGTCACAATATTTCGGTCATGTAATGAGACATCCAGAGAGGTATAACCTTCTACACCTCATAATACAGGGTAAGATCGACAAAAGGAGAGGCCCAAGCCGACGAAGAACATCCTGGCTACGAAATCTCCGAGAATGGTATCAAGAAACCACCTTTAATTTATTTAGAGCCGCCGTGAATAAGGTTATTATTGCCAATATGATCGCCAACGTTCGATAATCGGACAGGGCACTGAAAGAAGAAGAAGAAGATGACATAAGGAAACAAGCCGGTACAACATGGCACAGAAAAGAAAATTTTAGACAATCGTGGGCAGATATGTAGAATAAATATTTCAGGTGGGCTGAATAAATATTTCACCATAATCGGTTGAATAGGCTGAGAAGGATGATGATGACGATGAAGAACCTCCGTACTCAGGTCATCGAATCTCGGACTTACTAAGCAGCTGACCATGCTTTCCCGGTGTGGCTCAATAGCAAAGACATGAAGATTGTTGACTGTAAGTTACACTAGACTAGTTTAACATTTCTTTTTCTTGCAGTACCGTCTCCTATCGGAGGTTGGCTACCATCACAGCAATCTTTACTTTGTTGGCTGCAGCTCTGAACAACTGTATTGAACTGCACCCATACCCTTAAATTTCGCAACCAGATAATCCTCCTACGTTCCACATTTCTCTTTTCCGAGATTTTTCCTTGGATTATGAGTCTAAGCAGAGAGTACTTTTCTCCTCTCATTATATGGTTCAGATATTCCAGTTTTTTTGTTTGTATAGTTTTTATGACTTCGCATTCCTTCCCCATCTTCAGCAGAATATCTTGATTTGTTACTCTTTCTGCCCATGGTATTTTCCACATTCTCCTGTAACACCACATCTCGAATGCCTCAATGTTTTTTATGCTTATCTTTTTCAGTGTCCAGGCTTTTATGCCGTACAGCAGAACAGAGAAAACATAGCACCTTAACATTCTCGTTCTTAAGTTTATATTTATGTCCCGGCTGCATGGGAACTTTTTCATTTTGACAAAAGATTGTCTCGCTATCTCTATTCGCCTCTTGATTTATCTTGTCTGGTCATTAGTATCAGTGAAGCAAACCCCTACAACACATTCTGTGTTACAATCATGAATTTAATCTTTTTGATGTTTAGTTTTAGACCATACTTATTGGTATGCGTGTTTATGTTTTCCACCAAAAACTGTAAATTTGCTAAGTTATTTGATACTATTAGCGTGTCATCAGCGTATCGTACATTGTTAATTATCTCTCCGTTAATGTTCATACCAATGTTTTGCTCTAGGAGCGCTTACTGACATATTGTTTCGCTATATATATTGAATAATAGTAAAGGAAGCACACAACCCTGACGCACACCTTGACGAATCGCAATTTCTTCGGTTAGTTTCCCATTCTGACTAATTTATCAAATATCAGTCAAATATCCTTTATTGTTAAAGGCCACCTGCTTACACCAAGGAAATTTCAGTTTCACCAACGCCTGGAAAAGACAATAACAAAGCAACTCACCACAGGAGATAATCCAAATAGCCTGTATCGATTAGAAAGCGCCAGGCTTTGAACTGACCAGCAATACATGGACAACGCCAAACAGAATACGAACGAGCAGCGGTAGAGATGCTGACAGCTTACATAGATAGGAAAAAGCCCTTAATCCTGAGTATGATTGTAATGCACAACGACAGATTCTTTGTCACATAGTTGTAAAATTTCTCAAAAGACGGTTCTCTGCAGTTTTTGATAAGTTCCTGGATGCAACCAAAAATGTTTTATATTAAATTGATATATTAGATGTTGGTTTAGGTTCATTAAATTCGTTTTCTATTATTTTTAATTATATATTCTTATTGTATACCAGAAGAATAATAAATAAATAAATAAATATCATGTTCTCTATATAAAATTGTTAGAAATAAAGATATGTACCACGCCAGCCTTCATAATCCCTCATCAAAATTCAATAAAAATAATACTTTTGTGTTATCTATTCCGTGGTGACAACCAATCGCTTTTTGGATGAAAACCTAATTAAATGATGTTTACTTTTCTCACATTTACAATTTAAATTTTAAATATTTGACTGCGGGAGGCCAAATTTAATTACGAAAAATAAATACGCAGCCGGAATATTTCTTGGTCTGTTTATACTTTCTGGAATTTTGGGGCGAGAAATGTTTTGCCGGAAACAACTTCAAATTATTTAAATTATTTGGTTTACGACTACAAGTTATTCGATTAGAAAGAAAATTTAAGCAATAACTTTGGTGGCAAAATAATTTCGGTAATTGTCGAGTGGTTTGACAGCTTTAATTTAATTTCTTTTGAATATCCTTTTAGGTCATTGTATTAATTTTAATTTGAAAAAAAAAATACATTTTATTCCATTTTTCTCATCTTATAATTCCGGAAACTACAGATCTCTAAAACTTCTAACTACATTATTTAGACGCTTACATTCGTTATATTTTTTCTATTGCGTCTTTTATTTAGTAGTGCAATATGTTTTGCCTTATTTAACATTTCATATCGCAGAAATAACATTGTCAACATGAAGGGCATATCGCAACTGTCTTCTATCGTTTGGTAAATATTCTAAAAAATTTACAAAAGGAGCAGAACATTTTTGAAAAAGAGATTCATAAGATTTATTTCTACGAGAATTGTTCATTCATGTAAAACAACTACAAATTTAAATCATTTAAAGGGTTTTGACCCACATATTTTGGTGGCTACTAGCATGTACAACCGTTTGCACTGATGATGGATTGATTAATCTGAAAACGTTTTGCAATGTGTTTGTGATAGCCCGTTTGGGGTATTTTTATATACCTTTTATAAAGGATTTTAAACAATTTTTTTATATACCATTGTGTTATTGTTTACTTCCCGACAAATCGGAACAAACCTATATAAAACTATTTAATGTTTTGAAACGCAAATGTGAAGTAATTGGTCTAAAATTCAATCCAAAAATCATTTTCTCCGATTTTGAAATTGCTATCTACAATGCTGCGCGTTTTGAATTTCCAAATGTGCACATTAAAGGGTACCGTTTTCATCTTATGCAAGTTTGGTATCGTAATATCGGTGGTTGTGGCTTAATTCGGAAATATAAATTGGCAGACAGTGAAACATCA